CTGGCCGTCAATCCAGGCTTGGCCACCGCCTGGGGCGCTTCACCGCTTTTCGACCAAGACCGTTTGCGCTTTACGTTATCGTAAGATATCCACCTTTCATCGCCAGTCACCATACGCTTCAAAAACTGGTCGATTTTGTTGCGATTCAGAAGCGATTCGCATGCTTCGATACGGTCAAAGAAGTTTTTTTGCGTCAATTCGTGTGGCACCCATATATCGAGCTTCTTAGTGACTCTAAGCTTCCGGTTTATCTGGTCTCTTTCGACCAATTCAGCGATTTTATCGCAATTTTCAGCGACAGGCCTTCCGGAGCGTGGCGCATCTTCGACTACCTCTACACCAAAACGAAAACGTTGAAACCATCGTTGTGCGGTGGAAATGGAAACTGTATCGGGTCCATTAACTGCACAAATTTAATTGACGGCTTGAGATGCATTTTTGCCTTTATCGTAGTGGTACTGTAAAATATGCCGTATTTTCTCCTTATTTTGCTCCATGTTTGCGACGCTATAACTCACGAACGACTTAAAAGAAACGACAATCAATCAAACAGCGCGTGAAATGAGCTTTCCAAAAAGGTATAGCATAACCCGATGCGACAAATAAAACTAGAAGTACGCGCTCTCAGCGCAAACTAGCGAAAATACCGCAAGACTTTTTTGACAACCTGATATTCGAACTGTTTTGACGAGGTTCTTTCAATTTCGGCTCATTTTTGTCACGATATTCGGCCGATTAATCGTCTGTTAAGTTCAAATGTTGACATTCCAACAATTCCAGTATGATCTTTGACTGTTAGTCAGCGCTTCTCAAGTACCCATTCTTTTATTTATTGACGTGTTGATCATCAGGTGAGGTGGACGGCCGCCCTTGAGGTAGTTCGTCGTCAACGCGTTCCCGACGCTTTTCGAATAATTTCTCCCATATAAAAACATTTTCTCGCGACAAACAGAAGGTTCACCAAAAGCTTTTTCCAACAATCTAAACGTTTTACACCGGAATTTGATTCCGGACACAAAATTTAATGGAACTTCTTTTTTGAAAAATTTCACTCATCGTAAAAATCATCGCCTTATGCTCTTTATTTACTTTAGAATGACAAAAGTATACGAAACACTAATGATTATGACATTTGGTGTGACATATGGTATTGAAGTCACTGACAGTCATACCAAAATAAAAAAGCAAATATTTCGGCGAATGGGTTTTCGCGCGTAATTTAAATTTAAAAATCTTAATATTTGTTTGCCCACAGTAGTTTAGCAATTTGGGTATTTTTCTGTACTAAAAATAAAACTGAACCCTATTRTAGCTAATAAATAAATTATGTAAATATATTGTACTCACCTGTAATTATTTGTACTATCCAAAAATCCAAATAGCAAGCAGAAACCTTAAAATAAATTTTTTCACATGGCATTACTATATATATATATTTTTTTTTAATTACCAACTTCAAACTGATTTTTATTTTTTTATTTTTAATTTTCAGATTATTATTATTTGTTGTTATCGTTGTATCAATTATGACTTAATTTTTGTTTTTAGTTAAGTAAGGCTAATTTAAGTATATTTTCATTTGATTTGCACATCTGGTTTTTTATCAAACATAATAAGCATTTCTCTTCGGCGAGTCGGCATGAATTTAAAATTATCGTATTCGCTTAATTGATTCAATTTCACTTTCACTTGGCTTTAGTTGGACATTATTTTCTAAATTTTTTGCAATAAAATTTAAAATTTTATTTCTACGGCATAAGATTGAAAGCAGAAATTTGGACAAACAGTATTGTGTTTCATAGGTTTCAAATGAGTGGTTTATTTTGGATTCAAAATTACATTATCATTATATTTTTATTTATTTTTTTTTGTTTTCAACCAGAGATTAAGAAATTTTGTACATTCATCAAGGTTTTTTTTTTGTTTTAATTAATTTTAAATTTATTTTATTTAGTTTTTATTATATATTTTTCTTTTTTCTTAACCTATTCTTAACAATATTTTGGTTTCCTTGAAACTTACTGTAATTATCTTTATAACTTAATGCAAGTACTTAATACTTTTCACCATTGTACGAATTTAAAGTCTGTAGGTAACACTGAATTCACTTGATACTACCGTTACYTTTCATTCGGTTGCATAGGCAAACTTATTCCTCCTTTTTTGCATTAAAAACTTTTYACACATTATTATTTTTCAAATTTATCAAATAATAAGTATTTAGTTTATTATTATTTCACTTTTTCAACATTAATTTATTTAGATAAATTTCACTAATTTCATAATTAATTGTACTAATCACCGAAACTTGCTATTTTCACTTATCCGTTATTTGCACTAATATTTCGCGGCTGTTCGGCAAAGACTGAATTGCGCCAACATGCAAAGCACATAGCAGCAATGACAACGGCTGCGGGCAGCGAACAACGAGTGGCGACTTGTTCGTTAGATGGGTGGTGTTTGGCGTTCGCTACCGGCTTTACTAACAACACTTTTGGAGCACATGCAAAGCTACATGCACTTAAACACCCACACAACCACAACTAGCAACATTT